AGTGCACAAAGAAGTAATTAATTGATGGTGAAGACCAAGCTTGCCTCAAAGAACGCAACGCCCCTAATCAGCACGAAATAGTAGAACAAAATCCCTTTTCCCTCTATCTTTTTTTTTTCCCTCCCTCCTATCTAGTGTTAGGAGGCTGAAAGGGAAGAAGAAAGGAGATAGAGAAGGGTGGAGGAGAGAAAGGAACCCACAAAGTAAATGCCAGTTACCCTGAGCCACGCTTTTGCTTTGCATTTGTGATCTGAGTATCTGGGGTTACAGGCTGTACCAATAGGCCCGGCGACTGCTGGTATATTTGTTATTGCTGGGGATATGGCGGCCTGGAATGTTCTAGGTAGCCCAAGCTGGTCTTAAACTTCTAACAATCCTTTTGCCTTAGCCAAGTGTGAGCCACCACACTTGGCATTTCGTGATTTTTTTTTCTGTCTGTATAGACTTATTTTTTGTCACTTTTTTACTTGGATTATGGTATTCATTTATTTATTCTGAGGAACAGGGACTTCCTGTGTAAACCCAGCTGGCCTGGGACTGTTTTTGTAGCCTAGGCTGGAACTCACAGCCTCTAGAATGCTCTGGAGGCCTTGGCTTTTCCATTGAGCTGACCAACCCTTCTGCTTTGCAGCCCTGCCTCCTCCCACTGCATTCTTCTCCATGCGGGGCTGCCTCACTCTCATAATCCAGGCCCGCCCGAGGGGACTGATGTCACACGGTTTATTTGATTACCATTCCTCAGAGACTTTTCCCCAACTCTTCGCCCATCCCAGCCTTTGCCTTACACCACTTAGGTAACACAATGCATTGCCTATCAATTTGTTTTTTGTTATTGCTTTTTCCAATTTTCAGCTCTACCAGAAGCCTGAAGCAAGCTCACTGCTCTATCCCCAGGGCCTCGTTAGCTCTCAGTAAATAATTCATTGCCTGGCAGGATGAAGGGATAAATAACTGTAAGCCAAATGACAAGTTTACTTCTTGGGCAGGTGCTTATTCTGTCTTTGAGTATCACCTGGGGGGGAAGCCATGGTTGCCCCGGAACAAAGGTCATGAATAAGAACCTTAAGGTGCAAAAAAGTATGGCAGCTGCGAAGAGCTTGAGGAAACCAGTGAGGTAGAAGTGCACTGGAAAGCCCCTCCCTAGAACAAGAGCTTCTTGTGATTTACATAGGTGTTAGTGGAGGGAAATAATTTTCCGTGAGCTCTCTCTCTTCTTCTCTCTCTCCTCATTCTTCCTGACCCTTTTAAAATACAGTCTTATATAACCTAGGCTGGCCTTGAACTCCTGCCTTAATTTCCCAAGTCCTGGATTATAGGCATGCACCACCTCACCTGGCTTCCCCATGAGTTTGTAAATACCCACTCAGCCACAGCACTCACCCCCAGTCAGGTTTGGTCAGTTATCTGGGCATCTTACAGACAAAATTAACCATTTTAGCAACTTACCAATTGTCTTTGAATGAACTCAGGGGCCCAAGCAGGAAACCAACTGCCTGTCCCTCCTTCTGCAGCTTTTTGTGTTGGTGTGTGGCGTGGAAAATAATTCCTATTTCAACTCTGACACTTAGACAACTTCAAAATCTGCTTTAAGCCCAGCAGGAGCTTTATATTAAGTGAGCAAAAGAAGGGGAACAGGTCAGCTCAGTTCCATGATCCTGTTTCTGCTCTAAGACTCTAAGAACCGAGGTCCCTGCGAGCTGAGTAACTGGCTGAGACTGGCAGCTCTGAAGTGTCTTTTTCAACCTTGCAATGACCTGTGCTGTTTTTACTTCCCCAAGTGGCAGGTAGTTCTAAGAACTTCCTCAGTTCAGAGTTTATTGAATTTTTATATGCTCAGGGCTGAGTATGAGTATGAATGTTTGTGAATGTGCTTTGCAACCTAAAATAAAACAAAAACAGTCAAAACCTATCATACAATCAGTCAGTGTGGTTGAGAGCAGGAACCAACTTATTCTCAGACATTCTTTTCCCAAAACACCAACAGTTTGCCCACCATCTACCTACACACAGCCCTGACTGATCTGATCTGTAGGCTACGGAAGAGCAGGGTCTTCTAATGTTTCTGGGCCTTTGCCCCTTCCCACTCCGTATTTCAGTCAAGGCTGTCACTCCTCACTTCCCCTCCTTTTCCCCGGCCATGAGAGCAGACTGCAGGCTCAGTGTCATAGACGTACTTGGTCTGTCTTGTTGATTTTAACTGAATGGCCAAGACGGGTTACGTGGAGAGAAGGGCTTGGCTCATGGTTCTGGAGGCTGGCGAGGCCCAAGCCACGGCATTATCTTTTGCTCAGCTTCCGGGGTCTGTGTATGGTGTGGGCGCATGTGTCCATGCAGCTATGTGTGGAGGCCAGAGGCTACCTCACGTGGTCTCCTCAGATGCCCCCCCCCCCTTTGAGACAGGTACAGGAGCTTATCAGGTGGGCCTGGGAGGATGGCTCGGTTGCCAAAACGCGTGCTGTGCATTTTAAGGACCTGTCCGCATCCCTGAGAAGATGCGCACAGGGGCTGGAGTGACGACTCTGGATTAGAGCACTCGCTGCTTTGGAAGAGGACCCATTCACGTGACAGCTGACAACCATCTGGAACTGTTACAGGGGATCAGAAACCCTCGCAAACCTCCATGGGCACCAGACACACAGGGCACACAGAATGAGCCTATAGTCCCAGCACTGGGCAGACAGAGGGTCCCTGAGGCTTCATGCCCAGCAAATTCAGCCAAATCGGAGGTTCCATGTTCAGTGAGAGACCCTGCCTTAAAGAACAACCGCTGCTGTGAGGGCGCCCACTGCCACGGACCTCACAGTGGACAGCAGACTCTGAGACGTTTTTCCTGCGTTGTAGCCCAGGCTAGCAGTGAACTCACAATTCTCCCTCAGTCTCCTAGTGTGGGATTGCCTGTGTGTACTACTGCACCTGGCTAGGTCTCATTTTTATTTCAAACAAACATATCTGCTCCCCACTGGGCATGGCACCAGATAAAGAGATTGCAACACAAAGCCCAATTTTCTGTGCAGCAAACCCTTGGTGAACAATGGAAAGGGCAACCTCTTAGCCCATGTGGGGCTTGTCAAAAGAAAGAGCTTTTGAGCAACGGGCCTCCACGGAAACCGAGCAAACAGCAGCATCAAACAACCGATATGCATTTATTTTGTGTCTCTTTATTTATAAAAGTATAGGAAATTAATGTTACCTAAAATGTCTCTACATTAAATAAATTACTTTGATATATGCATTGCAGGTGCACAGACTGGCCCTCCCACCTGTATTAGGGTCACAGCTGAAGGACTCTGGCTTGTCTGAATGAAAGAGTCAACCTTTCCCTTCCGTATGCAGCCACACGCCCAGCCACTGTGTGCAGTCAGGAGAGCCAGGGTCGAGGGTACTGGGCTGACACACAGTAAGAAACAGCACACAAGACTGTCTCCCAAGGGGCACCTGAAGGCAGAAGCCAACGGAGATGAAGCACAGAGGCCCCTGCTCAGCATGGCGATGCCAGGTGAAGGAAGGAGCCACAGGTGCTCCTGGCCCTGCATGGGGGGTCCTCAGCACCTTGGGTGGCAGGAGAGGAGACAACCTTCTTTCCTGGAAAGGAGAAAAGCTTTCGGACAGGAAAGGTGCATGAGCAGCACCGAGGTGCGATTAAAGCGTGAACTCTTCTTGTTGGAAAGAACTCAAGAGGTCTGGAGTTTGACCCTCCAGGGGACCTGAGTGCCCTGTCTCTGGCGACATGGGCGTGGTAATGAGATACCTTTCCAGGGTGAGTTCCCTGAGCATTATGATACACATTTATTTCCTGAAGGTTTTGCCAGAGATCCTTGAAGCTACAGTACCACTGCTTTCCCTCTGGATCATGCCAGAACTCTGTCTCCTCGCTCTGTAGGATGGAAGCTCCACTCTGTGCTTTTCCTACACTTCAGTGTCGATCTAAGCCACAAGCACACAGCCTCGGAGCGGAGGCAGCAGGAAAGATGGGGACTAAGTGGCCCTGGACATTGTATTTGAGGGCCAGAGCCACTGTGGTTCACTTTAGCGGCTGCCTCAGGCTAAGATGTATCCAGCACAGACAGGTCCTGTGAGCTGGATTGTTAGGGGAAATTTTTTTCTTTTTAAACTTTAAACATTTAGCTACAGGCTAAAGCAAAGCTTTTCAGGCTGGGCCATTTCTTATGGTCTCCTGAGTACCACAGGAGGGTGGGATGGGCAAGGCAATGTCCTCTCACCCTCGGAGATGCTTACCCAGCCAGTGCGTGTGGTGCCCGAAACGCAGTGAAGGGTCTTTTCCAGGTGACAAGGTTAAGGCTTGATATGGGAACTGGATTTGCAAGTGAAAGCAAGGAGCAGCTGAGTAGGCGACCAGCCACGCCATGCGAGACAGATGCAGCCACGGATGCGTCCACGCGCCGGGAAGGCCGAGGACGCTCTGAACGCCTGGGAGGCGCAGCTTTGCCAGCTTCCCGCTCTCAGTTCAGTCAAGCTGGTTTGGGAATCTTATCTCTAGAACTGTATTGAAGCTGTTGCTAAGCCACCACAGGGCGTGCTGCAGTAACCCTGGGAAGCTGATGCAGATGGCCACTGTCTGCAGCATTTTCTCTCTCCGGTTTTCCGAGAAAGGGTTTCTCTGTAGCCCGGGCTGTCCTGGAACTCACAATACAGTCCAGGCTGGCCTTGAACTAGCGAGATCTGCCTGCCTCTGCCTCCCAAGTGCTTCCAGAGCCCATATTTATGTATTCTTAAAGGATTAAATTATTCTAAAATTTCAGTTGACATGTCAAAGTATTGCTGCAGCTGGGAGAGCCGTACACCACACAGAGCAGCTCAAGCTTCTAGTATTACCGGGAGTAGAGGATGAGGGGTCTGTGATGGATTCTGCAGGGAGACAGCTGAATGCGGCCGAGGAGGACTGGGAAATTTCTTACTGAGTAATCGAGACCTGCACGCACACACGCACGCACGCACGCACGCACTCACGTGTATACTTTTCTGGCTGGGCAGATCATCAATCATCTCCACAGGTGCACATTTATCTAGTGGCCTGAAAAACCAAAACACAGCTGTCCAAACCAGTTTGCATGAGTCAGTACTAGACGGGAGCTGTGCATGTTTTTAAGATAGACCAGGAGGGCCTCCAAAGCCCTACCTATTTGCTGATGACCCTGAAATTCTGACCCTCTCCTCCCCTAGAGCTAGGCTTACGGGCGTGTGCCAGTGCGCTGGTTGTGTGCAGTGAGGGTGGAGCCCGAGCTCTGTGTGGGCATCCTACCAACCCAGCTCCACCACCAGCTCCGCATCCAGCTTTTAAAAACATGCAGCAACACTAAACAAATACTACCATTGGAAAAGCACCTTGTCATTTTCATCCAGAGGCCTCCAGTGGGAGCAGAGACCTCACGTGGAGCTCCTGGGAATCCATTAAGTCTCAGCTTATCATCGGGAATCCAGTCTCACTGCAGTCCATCTGGGTGGACAATGTCTCTCTCTGTCCCTCGGCCAGCCAACACAAGCTTCGTTCGGGGAGGTCTGAGCTGTTAGGATGGCGTCCCCGTCAGAGGCCGAGATGTGCTCATCACTGCAGTGTCCACCGGAAAACCAGGAATTGGTGGCCCCTCACAGAAGCTCTTACTTCTAGTTGATTGCTCTTCCATGTGACTTCTGGCTGGGACAGTTGTGTGGGTCTCATCGCCCGGGGCCATGCATCTCAGCAAAGTCTTTGGAATGGAGCCAAATTATTCTTCTGTCTCCACTGGCCCCTGGGTGTCAACTAAGGGGATGTCCGTCTCCCTGAAACCTACTTCCCCCTTGTTGGGGTGTGAGAAAGTGTAGGGTTCACTCTCAGGCTCAGGAGAGCTACTAGGGGCTGGCTCATCGGCAGTGAACTTTGCAGTTGGGGTCCTGAAGAACATAGGGGGTGGGGAGGGGGGGCAGTCCCCCATGGGGCCCTGGAAGGGCCGGTAGGTGTCCACCTCTGGCTGGATGAAGGAGCCGCCGGAGTCCTGCAGCAGGTGCCCATAGACCATGGTGTCTTCAATGACGGCATACACATGAGAATCATTGTCCTTCCGTCTTTTCTGGAACTTTTGCATCTGGGGCACCTGGGTATTGACGTTGCCATTGTAGATGCCCACAGCAGGACCCTTGTTGACCTTCTTCCTGTTTGTAGAGATAAAACAGATGAGTTACACATGGGAGTCTTGGGGTTCTAAGCCTAGCTCACCTAACCCCTTGAAGGCTATTAGCATTTGGAAATGAAACTATCCTAGGGGCTACTTTTATTTTATTTTTGAGACAGGGTTTCTCTGTGTAGCCTTGGATGTCCTGGACTCATTTTGTAGACTAGGCTGGCCTTGAACTTACATATATCTGCCTTTCTCTGCCTCCCCAAGTTCTGGGATTACAGGCCTGTGCCACCACACCCAGCAGCTAGGGACACTTTTAAGCAAATAGCCTTATCTCAGGTTTCCAAGGTGGCTACTGAGGGATCAAAAGGAAGATGTGGTTTAAGTGAACTTGTCTTGCCTCTGATAGCCTTCGAGAAACCAACAATGGAGACACCTGCTAACTCCTCCTCCTCTTTCTCCCAGGAATAGGGGTGCACAAGACTTTCAAACCACACCAGCCCAGCACGCCCAGGCCAGCCTGCTAGAACAGTTAGTACTCCCCTGTGCTGCTGCTGCTGCTGCTCTTGCACAGAGCGAAGCTGATTAGCTAATTCCAAGCAGTTAATATCCATCAGTGGAGAGAAGGGTACAGACCAACTCATTTTGTGCTAGAGTTGAGGACAGAACAGCTCGTCATTAGCTGAGTGGCTCTGTCCCCATCTGATCAACAGCAGCAGCCACCAGGGAAAAAAGCTAAAGTGCAGACAAAATCCAGGGTTCCACAAGCTGATGTGGACAATTGTTGGCATGTCTGTCCTGGGCACACAGCTTTGCCTTCAGTGAACACAGCAGGGACGTGGACAATAGCTGACTCAAAAGGAGACTGTCAGTCCAATTAGCACAACAGGCTGTGGAACGCAAAGACTGGCAGCTCACTAATCCTGGACTGTGCTTTCAGGAAGTAAAAATCCATCTGGTGCTGACCAGCTCTTGCAAGAAGCCTTCAATAGACATCCCACCCTGACCCCTGACCCCTGTCATGTCACAGTGTCTCGCTTTTCCTTCTTCCCATGAATTGTGGAAAAGACTCTGTTTTCCCTGGTTTATCCCCAGTACATTATATGGGTCCTAGCCACAGCAGGAACAAGGTCAGTGTCAGTGTTTCCCCTTGTTCTTGCAAACACCCCCAACACACACACACATCTTGGGGACAGGGCCTTCACACAAGCATGTCAGCCAGCAGCCTCATGCAACTGAAGACCACAGAAAGACCGCCTGTGCTGGCACATCCCAGGTCAATCTGGAACAGTCGGCAGAAGGCGTGCCAGCGAGACTTTTCCTCTCTCAGCTGAATCCAGATCTTCAAGAGGCTCCTGGGGGCTCAGTTGGGACATGCTGGGTACCCTAGACAAGGAGCCAGGCATTTCTCAACAGACAGACACTTTAACATAGTCCCACTGCACAGCAGGAATTTGCCCAGGGCCAGAGTGAACTTAAGAAAGCTTGGGGACTGAGGAGACAGTTGGTAAAGGACCGAGGTCAGATGCATCCATGTGAAAAGCTGGGTTGGTGGCATGCATCTGTAATTCCAGTGCAGGGCAGGAGACAGGCACAGAGGGCTCACTGCTCAGCGAGTCTGATGAGTGACAGCTGTGATCCCCAAGGACTTACGTGGTGGAAAGACACACACACACACACACACACACACACACACACACACACACGCATAACTAAATGTGATAAAAATCTTGAACGTTGAGGACACCTGATGTTGTTCTTCGGCCTTTGTAACAAGGCCAGAGTACACACACCTGCCATACACACCTGCACACTCATGGACACTTTTTTCTTTCTAGAAGGCTTACATCACGGTAGAGCAAACGAAGGCTTCTCTGATTTTCATCAGACACAGAAAAATGGATGAGGTCTGATATCCCAGTAGATTTTATTTAAAGCCATTTACCTTTCAAGCAAGCTGCTGGTTGAGGGACAGAAGAGGCAGTTAACCAGAACTCACTTCCTCTTAGCTCTAGGGGCACTTTTTGGAACTGGTCTGTAGTCCCACAGATGAGCAAAAAACAGTTTAAGAAACCAAAAAGGATTCAACCTCCGGCACCCACAGAGCAGCTCACAACTGTCTGTAACTCCTGGTCCAGGGAATGATATCCTCACATAGACATACATGCAACCAAAACACCAATGTATATAAAATACAAATAAATAAATTATTAAAAAAAAAAAAAAAAGAAACCAAAGGAGAACAAGCCTGGGCAAAATGCTTGTTTCCCCTCCAGCAGCAGAGGGAGTGGTTCCTGCTACAATCATTCCTGCTACAGTGAGCGTGCTAAGCAAATGAAGGAGATGTCACCGAGTGTGTGTGTGTCACTGTGTGTGTGTGTCACTGTGTGTGTGTATTTTACTGGCCCAGATATGCCTCAACCCTCTGAAACTGTGATACACCCTTGGTGAGAATATTTCTGGGGAACTGAGAAGCAAAAAAAAAAAAACAACCCAACATCACTGACATGAATAAGTTGGATGTGATGACACAGGCCTGTAATCCTAGCAAAGAGATGGAAGAGAGTAGGGAGTTCAAGGCCAGGGATATATGTATAAGACCGTGTCTAAATCTATCCAATTCTGTCCATCCATCCATCCATCCATCCATCCATCCACCATTCATCCACCCATCCACCGATCCATCCATCCACCCATTCAACCATCCACCATCCATCCATCCATCCATCCATCCATCCATCCATCCATCCACCATCCACTCAACCATCCACCATCCATCCATCCATCCATCCATCCATCCATCCATCCATCCAACCATCCACCATCCACCATCTACCATTCATCCATCCACCATCCATCCACCCATCCATCCATCCATCCATCCATCCATCCATCCATCCATCCATCCACCATTCATCCATCCAGTGTGTGAACCAAGGGGGCATCAATTCAAGGACAGCTGGAGACAGTCCACCTACTTCTTTCTCACGCAGCAGATGAGGAGGCCCAGGGCGAATAGCAGCAGAGCCCCGCCTCCTGCTGCACCAATGATGACAGCCAAATCTGTGAGCAGAGACAGGAAGGCAAAGGAAGAGACAAGAGGGTCAGCATAAGGAAGAACTTGGTATCTCCAGCCCCAGCTTCTCCCGCTTCTGCTGTAACACTGATGTGACTGGGTCAGCCCTGAGCCTGACCTCTAAGGGAACTGCCAGCTGGTACATTCTCCAGCCAGAACATACAAGACTATGCGGAAGCCACCATGTTAGCCATGCAGTGCCTCCCAGACACACTCTATTGAGACGAGGGAGAACCAGGGCTGAGGAGCGTGTTCCCAGCTGAGCTATTCCATTTGAGTTGTTCAGTGCATGCACGGGAACCACTGTGCTGTCTGAACTTCTGACCCACAAACGAAACAGTGACTGTCTAAGCCAATGCAGTTTAGAGTAGTTTGTATGTAGCAGCACTTAGATACATGAAACAGAAGGGGAAGAGGCACTTACCAAATTTCTGACCCACAATTATGAGCAAACACGACAGCCAGTGGTTCTCAACCTTCCTAATGCTGAGACCCTTTAATACAGTTCCTCATGTTGTGGTGACCCCCAACCATAAAGTTATTTTGTTGCTACTTACTATGCCTTTTCTACTGTTATGCATCGTAATGTAAACAAGTGATATACAGGAGGTCTGATATGCGACCCTTAGGGCTGCGACCCACAGGCTTCGACCCACGGGCCTAACCCACCCCCTCCGGAGTAGTCTGCGCGCAGCACCTGGGGACACGAAACAGACGTCAGGGCACCTACCATCCACCTAATGGCTACTCCTGTCCTCCGCCGGTATGTTCCCTGGCCACCAGGCTGTCTTAGAGAAGGAAGAGAGGAGCAGAGAGGAGAGCAGGGGCTCAAACGTCAGAAGGAGCAAAGCGCCACGTCACCTCATCTGAGTTTTCTTTTCCCAGACTGTGCAATGGAAAAAGAGCACAGGTCTGAGAAGGGGTGCCACAGCACACAAGGATTTAGGGTTCCTTGCTTGCTCACTAAGAAACAACACGTGAGATTCAGACAACACAAAAGTACATGACAGAAAAGGAAAGTAGAAGAGGAAGAAAGCCAAGTGGTTACCTCAGAGCTGACAGTTCTCAGTGGTGGCTTTTGGCCAACTCTCTCCAGGTCCTCCTATTTGAACCCTCATTACTGAATCCCTACGCGTCTCCATCCCTCACGCTACATATCGTAGGAGTAAAGAGAGATCACACACATGTGTACACACAGACAGAAAGACAGGCAGAAGCAGAGTTCAGGAGGAAATAACTGTGGCAGAAGGATCCAGGTGAGTCAAAAGAACATGGCAGATGTGCTGTGTACACCCTTCTATGCTTCTTTGGTCTCAACAGGGCCGGCTATGCAGAGAGTCAAGCTGTCTCACATGATTTGGGCTGGGATCTTTGTGATATCCGTATATAGCCAAGATCAGTAAGTCTTACAATCAACCTGTACCATCTGCAGCTGAGTGAGTGAGCTGATAAGCCCAGCACACAGACTCGCCCAGTCAATGTGTGAACAGCAATAACTACTATACAACAGCTCACTGATACGTGGATTGCTGGGACACCATCCGTTTCCTGACTTCCTCCAAAGCTTGTTTCTTGCCCCCCAAGTGCCAATTTTCTTTCCTTCACCATCCTAGGAGACTTTGAAAGTCCTTACCCGCAGTCCTCGGGGTAAGAGTCACCCAGAAGAGCAGATCTAGCTGCTTGCCATTCACAGGGCTGCAATTGGAGATGTTAACCCAGAAGTTGCGACGATGGAAACTTGGCTTAGGCAGCACTTCCTCCTCCAGGCTGAAGATCTCCTCTGCCCGGCTCTGCTGTTCCTGGATGATCATGAAGGCTCGCCCCGACTGGCAGACCACGCCAGAACGCTCTTTGAAGAAGGTCAGACAAGCCACTTGGTTGCTAGGCACACTGATGTTCCAGGACACGGAGGAGAGGGCGGGCAGGCCTCGATCCCAGTTGGGTGTTCTCAGGTAGACCTTGTTTTTTATGTCCGGGGTCACCGTGAAGATGCCTTCCTCTGCAGGGAAGGGAAGAGACTCAGACAGATGTTTGACTCAACAAGACAGAGAAGAAAAGGACAGTGTAACTAACAGTCTACACCAGCTCCATCCAACAGGACTTGCTGCCGCAGTGGCCACATCCCATGTGGTAACTGGCAGGGCGCCATTATTCATGTGCATCTGTTGAACACTCACTATGTGTGACTGAATGGTGCAGTCGGCATGCGAGCTAACCCTACAGGCTTCTGTGGCACAAGCTCAGCCACTAGTCCTCAGCTGCTGGAAGGTGACAGAACCCTTAAGGGGGAGGTCAGGTAGAAGGAAATTAGGTCACCAGGGACATACCCTTAAAGGGGCCATCGGGAAGCTGTGATGACCAGGAGGTGAGCAGCCTCTCCTATACATTCCTACCATGATGTAAGGCTCCAACACAGACTCCCAAAGTAACTGTACCTGCCAGGGAAAGCCTGTCTGAATCTGTGAGCCCAAAAAGCCTTTTTCTACATTAAGTTCATTATCTCACAGCAATGGAAAGCCAATACAACAGAGACTCCTGGTTTTCATTTATTAACCTTGATTTTATTTTACATAATCACATGTGCTTGTTTTGGTCAGTCCAGCACACACACAACCTGCTAGTCCAGGTGCCCAGGTTATTTTCAAACAAACATCAGAAACTTTGCCAAATGAGGGCCATGTTTCCAACATGGCAATCCCCCTGCCCCACTGTGCTGTGGATGAAAAAGGATGATGGCCTACAGACTGTGGTGCCAGAACCACCGTTAGTGGAGACTTGCTGGAGGAAGTGGGTCATAGCCCCACTTGCTGACACCCTGCCAAGTGCAGACACAGGCTCACACTGCTAGGATTTCTTCACTGTGACGGACTGTATCTGTAAACTGTAGGCCAGAGCAAGCCCCCGTCAGCCGCTTCTTCACGTTTGATCACGCACCAGGAAAGTAACGACTACACAAGACACGCTGAACATCTCACAAGGATGGCTAGGAGGGGCTGGTGGTATGTGAGCAAGGGAGCACTTACCTTTGAAATACGGTACGAAGGACACTGTCAGGGCTTGCCTGGAGACTTCATATTGGGAGCTGGGAGCATATGTTCGCAGCGTCACCGAGCTGTTTTGCTTCACCTGGATCTTCTCGATGGAGCCCCCTGGGCAGAAGGAGCCAAAGTATAGGTCCTGGCTGGGGGTGGTGCTGGCCACAAGGTAGCCAAAGCTGGTGTTACAGGCCCTCTCACGCGTGTGCTGCTGGAGCTTCTGGCCCGGCACCAGGAGAAGGCTGAGCCTGTCCTTGGGCGCCTGCAGCCTCCAGGAGAAGTCGTGCAGCTGCACAGGCAGCTGGAGGATGTCTCGGGGAACCTGCAGCTTGAAGGACTTGCTGTAGCAGTAGCGGTGGTCCAGACAGCCTGCAAGAGAAAGCCAGTGGTACCCACGTGCATGGCCGAGTGTACCTCCTGAGCACAGAGGCCGGCCTAAGCTGCTGCAGCATCTAGGACCGCCTGCTTCCTTTTCCGTTCATGACTTTTCCCTCGCTTTCCTGTCCACTCTTCTTACTGCTTACTTGCTCAGCCAAGCTTCGGTGAGCACTCAGGACAGAAACACCCTCTTCTCCTTTGTCTCGGATGCTAAGACACTAGTCTCTACTCCAACACGTCCCCACACTTCTGTGTCACATTAGAGCTGGGAGTGATGTCATGGCCATCATGGCTTGCACTGCACCCTGTTGCTTCCTAATTGGGTGGTTTCGTGCCACTCCAGCTCCCGAGACCCTCAGCTTTGTGTCAGCAATCACGGTATCTCAGCAGGAGGTGACTGAGTTTTCTTATCTTTGAGATTGAGTCTCTCTATGTTGCTCTGGCTGTCCTGAAACTCCCTCCGTAGCCCAGGCTGGCCTGGAACTCCCATCTACCTGCCTCTGCCTCCTGAGGGCTGGGATTAAAGGCGTGCAGTACTATGTCTGGCTCAGCTTGTTTGTTTGTTTTGATTTTTTAAGGGTTCTCACATAGCTAGGCTGGCCTGGAACTCTATGGAGCCAAAGAAGATCTTGAACTTCTGATCCTCCTGCCTTCACTTCCCAAGTGCTAAGATTACAGGGGTACAGTGGTTTACACATTGCTGGGGGTAGCCCAGGGTGTTACGATGCTAGGAAATCACTGTACCACTGAACTTAATCTCCAATCTTGCGCCTAAGGTTTGCTGTATGTGATAAAAGACTCTCATAAGCCACAGAAGGAGCCAGGATAAGTCCATTTTGTTTGTTTTACTTGTTTTGTGAGGCCCTCATTTTTCCCAGGCTGGCCTTGAACTTGCACAGTCGAGGAAGAGTTCGTTTATGTGGTCTTAAGAATTAAACCCAGGACACAAGCATTCTACCAACCAAATTACACCTCCATGTCCCTGGAGACAGACGAGGCAGGAAGCAGGCACATGGAGATAGGGATGGGGCAGCCAAGCAAAGGAGACAAGGACTTCCTCAGGGAGAAGCTGGCAGGTTGGGACACAGGGCCTTCTGGGACTTTCTGAGGGACGAATGTTCAGCCGACACGGGCCTAAGGAGGCAGGTCGACACTGGCCTGTTCTCGTTCTTGCCCTCAGTGGCCACTTCAGACCACACCCCACACACCCACCTACAAAGCTCCACTGAGATAAGCAAGATGGTGGATAAAGGCACACGCCACCAAACTGCACAGCTGAGGTTTGAGCCTTGGAACCTACATGGCCGGAGAAAACAGATTCCCTTAAGTTATCCTCTAACTCCTGCACGTACACGCACACACATGCACACTAAATAAAATATTTTTTTTTCTTTTTGAAGAGGCTGATCCAGGGATGGGAGAGCTTGGATAGAGGTATAGGCAAGACTCTGGTAAGGGCATACTTAGGGTTTTCTCCACATTCACCCACAGGCGTGTCAGGTCATCGCACAGGAAGGAAATCTTGTGTTTGGAGCCAGCTGTCAGGGTGACATTGGTACTACAGGTCCGGGACTCCAGACACACGAAGCAGCCAGGAACAAACCTGCGGCCATGTCTGACTGGCCGTGGCTCTATGGTTAGCGACATGGCTCGCTCTTGACTCAGGTCCACCACGTAGGTTTTACCTGAAACCACAAAGAGAAAAAGTATGAGGCTCGGAGATGCAGCTCCCGTGTGAGATGGCCACAGTGACAAGTCACCTCTTGGGATAAGCTTATTCAGACACACACACTTTGCAAACAAAAACCAGTGGGCCTGGAGAGATGGCTCAGAGGTTAAGAGCAGTGGCCGTTCTTCCGAAGGTCAAGTTCAGTTTCCAGCACCCACACGGTGGCTCACAACCATCTATAAATGCAATCCTGTGCCCTCTTCTGGTGTGCAGGCACACATGCAGGCAGAATAGTGTATAAATAATAAATAAATAAATTAATCTTAAAAAGCAAACTAACAGCCTCTGACCCTGAATGCAGGACCATGCTCGCTTTACACTGTGCTAACGCAAAGCAGCTGTTCAGCGTCTCCTGGGAGACTGTCCCGACTCTGGCACTCACTTCCTGACACTCCTGCAGCACCCAGAGTCCACGGCCCGGCTGCCCTGTGTGCAGCAGGCCTCCTCCCCTAAGCAGCTGAGGTACAGCAGGAAGAGGCTACAGCTTACTCACTGCTTTCGTTCTGTGGGCGTTGGACCAGGACCTGAAAGCGGAGCCGAAGGATTCCTGGGCTTTGGGCGTCCTGGTCACAGCCTTGCAGGGAGAGGTTGAAGTTGCCAGCCATGTTCCCGGGCTGCTGGTCCTCCAGCCTGAACACCTCTGGGTTGGTGGTAGAGCCGGGGATGTAGTACTCCACCCGCTCCTCCTTCCTCTCACAGTTGGAGACGTTGAAGCTGAGGAAGGAGACGCTGGCCCTCAGGTGTGCAGGGACAATGAACTGCCAGGTCATGAGCTCATCCTCAGGGAAGCCTCCTGGGTAGTTGGCGGACATGAGGGTGGCCGAGCCTTCACCCTCAAACACCGACTCGATGATGCACAGGCCTGTCGGGGCAGAACCGAAACAAAGGGGAGATGCTGGCACCTGTCCTGGCTGTCCACGGCCAAGGTCAGGGGCGCTGAGGCTGCACGTGACAGTTACACCGAGGGGAGGGATTAGGAACAAAGACCCAGTGTATGAGCAAATGTTAATAACTGACTGGGTTGGAGAAAGCCAATCTGTTCTGTGTACCATCTCTTTGGGCTTAAAGTAGTTAAGGCCTTAGTAGAGCTGAACAGTGATCTGATATCACACACATAGACAGACAGACACAGACAGACACACACACACACACATTCACACACACATCACTGAGAGCATTAGGCAGGCCATAGTAGAATCATGAGGAAGCGATTACATTTGCATCTACCATGATTTACTTCGCTCAAGTTTCCATGATCTTATTTTTGTGGATTGAGCGGTTGAACACTGGCTCCTTCAAGTTCGGCTCTCACGAGGCACACCACAGGGGCGCACTGAGACGCTTGGAGAAGGCGGAGGCCAGGGCAGCAGAGTCAGAGATGTGCTCTGTGGATCTATGAGCCTGCCTGTGTCACTCTGTGATACAAACATCATGTGTAAAAGGGAGAAAGAAACAGCCTGGTCGTGCACACTTGTCACAGAAGCACTGGGCAGGAAGATCAGGGGTTCAAGGCCAGTCTGCTTTCACATGAACCTGTGGCCAGCCTGGGCTACATGAGACTGTCTTAAAAAATAAATAGCTGTTGGGCAGTGGTGGTGTGTACTCAGGAGGCAGACGAAGGCCGATCTCTATGAGTTCAAGGCCTTTGCTTGGTGTACAGAGTAAGTTCCAGGAAAGCCAGGGCTACACTGAGAAACCCTGTTTCAAACAGACAGACAGACAGACTGCTGGCAGTGAATGTTGAACACTCTGGAACACTCGCACACTCCCACCTGATCACAGAGAGGGAAGGGAGGTGCGTGCTCACGTTTTATCGACGACCGGTTTGCGATGCTGAAGCCTGAGATGTTCCTGGGGTGGAACCAGGGTAGGTGCAGGGCCATCTTCACACCCTCCTGCATTTTGATTCGGGACACGGTGCCATTACTGCAGAAGGTCCCGATCCTGACCTCAGTGGCATCTATTCGGCCGCTGATGGAGTGAGTGACCCCGTCCTCACAGCCCTCGCCTGGCCCGATCTGCCTCAGGCGAGGGGCTGAGAACTGCAGCTCCAGGCCGATGCGCTTATGCGCCCTGACGTCCCAGATGAAAGTTCTGTTGAGGGCGGGCAGCTCTGCTGTGGTCGGCTGGAGGGGGACCTCCCCAAAAGGACACGGGCCTGACATGCAGTCTGTAACACAGACACAAAAACAACTCCGATCACGGGCAGGCCAGGCCACACGCTACCTCTCCTCCCCAGCCCCTAAGTAGGCTCTTGGGAATTGTGCCCAGGCACTTTTACCACCCCAGCTGCTCACTGGTGCCTCTTTCTGGTCAGCGCCTCAGATGGGGAGTGATTCTGGATCAGAGCCTGAGAGGCTTGGCTCTGTTCTCATTCTGATTTGGGCTGCAGGACTGAGAAGCGTTGGCCTCATTGCTCCTGACACTGTGACAGCCCCATTCTGTATGTTTCACCCAGGAAAGGCTGGACTTTAGCAGAAACAACTACCCCGTGTTCAGTTTCCTCCTGGTCCCTCTCCTGCATCCTTCTGGCTGGGCTGCTTCGGGGGCATTCCTTCATGGTGGTTAATCTGGACTGCCAACCTGACAGAATGTAGAATCACCATGGAAACAAACGGGCACGTCTCTGGGAGACTTTCTAGATTATATTAATTCAGGGGGGAAGGCCAACTTGAACCTTCACCTGGGATGGGCCTTGAGCTGACTAGAAAGCAGACTGAGCCCAGCATTGATCCTCCTCTGCCTCCTGACTGGAGACAGTGTGAGCAGCTGCCTCCTGCCCCGCTGTCAGGTATCATCCACTACGAGGACAGGACCCCTGGGGACTCTGATGGAAATAAACCCTTCCCTCCTTAAGTTGCTTTCATCGGTTACTTTGTCACAGCACTGAGATAAGCAATAACATGGAGACCCCTCCCCAGTCCACCTTTGGATTGAAGGCATCTAACACCGTTTCCCCCAGACCCAGTGCTTGGTATCTGCTTAATTGTCCCCAACCGGCCTTCTAAGCACTACAGGGAGCCTACACCTTGGGCTAACTCCCTTTCTCCATTGGATATTAATGTCATGGTTTCGAGGGCATTCAGCCGGGCTCCACCTTTTAAGTCTCCCTTTCCATCTACATCTCACTAACATACTGGGCATATTCAGCGCGCAGTTCCCCTGACTGGCTGCTTCTCCAAGCAGTGAGGTGCTGCTCTGAGGCGGCTCAACTCTAGCAGCACTACAGAGGAATCACCTTAAAGCTAGTAACTAATTAATCATTTGATACATTTGGTTTCCTAAGCCTTTTAAAACAGCATGATTGTTACTATCAATGAGGCTTTAGCAAAGTCTGAAATAACAGAAAGCAGGCAAAGCCACTTCCCGGCTTTTGTGTTGTGCAGAGAGGGTGTAAGGGTGCAAGAGCCTTTGGTCTTGCAATAAGAAACTGTGGGTCCTTTCTTGTGCTCCTCTTGGGTGTTTGAAAGCACTTGTTTTATGAGCATGGAAACCTGAGTTCAAAATGCCAGCACCCCGTAAAAAGCAGAGTACCAGTACCCAGGGCAGAGAGACAGGTGACCCAAGCTTTAAAGCCAGTGAGAGATCCTGTCTCAACGAAGTAAGACCAACATGGGAAGACCCCAAGTGCCCTGCTCTGGCCTCTGCGTGTGCATGGGTCTGCGTACCTGCACATTCATGTGCATAGACCTTGTACCCACACTCAGAACCTGGGTGAGCCGGTGAGTGCCTGTGAGAGGCAGACGGGAAGCTCCCGGGGTCTTGATGGACAGCCAGCCTTATTAACCGGTGAGCTCCAGTTTCCCTGAGAGATCCTAAAAACTACAGTAGAGGAAGACACTGGACACTGATCTTTGGCTTTCACATTTGTGAGCGTGGACATGACACACACACACACACACACTGTCAACTCAAACAGAACTAGGAGAACACAAGAGCAGTCTAAGACTTCTGAGATCATCCACATCAAACCTCTCATTACTGCCAAGTAGCCCTGGATGTCTTGTACATGCCCACTGTAGCTGCAGCTGACTCAGCCCTGAAGCCGAGCTGTCCGTGGTCAACCTACGTTCACGTCAGGGCACTACAGCCAGAGCAATGAAAGAGAATCAGATACAGTGGTGATTAATGCGGCTAAAATTAGACTTGTGTGTCAATAAAGATCGTAGCTATTTTAGGAGCTCACAAACTTTATTGTGTAAGAGTACCTCTTAGCCTTCTACTGTGTGTGTGTGTGTGTGTGTGTGTGTGTGTGTGTGCATGTGTGTGTTTCTGGGCATGTGGAGGTTAGAGGACAACTTAGAGGAATTGATTCTCTCCTTCACCATGTGGGTTCCAGGAATCAAACTCAGGCCACTGGGTTCCAGGCCAGCCTAGTCTACATCGTGAGGTCCAGGACAGCTAAGGGTTCACAGAAAGACCCTGTCTCAAAACACAGAAAGCAAGCCCACTCCAGTCAGTCTCCGGCCGATACTCTGTTCCTCATGAGCTGTGCTAGCTCAGAAGGCTCCTTCTGGTCTGCCTGGGTTCTCTTGAAGATCAACCATGAGCTCGTGGGAAGCACATGGGCTATGACTGGCCATGGAAGAGGCAGCTTAGAGAGCTGAGACTTCGGGCCGGACCCAGCACCAGACTGTAACGGCACCGTCCGGTGCTTTGTATCTGACTGTTAATTATCCTGCCCCCTGAGGTCTGCAGGCTTGCTTTTACGAGCAGACACCCAGGTACCCCCAAATCACCCCTGCAATCCTTGCCTCCAAACTATCCCTGATTGCTGAATAAACACCTACACACCTGGGAAGGGCAGAAATGAGGTGAGCATGGCCAGAGTTCTTGGGCTGTGAGGACAGAAGTATCATGGAGAGGAGGGAGACAGGTGAAGGAGAAGGAAGGAAGGAAGACCACCAGGAGTTAGCATGGAGGAAACCGCGTGGCCGGGAGGAACTGACTCTGGATTAGCATGGAGAGATGCAGTCCAGATGGAAAACACGTGCAAGCATTTATGAGTTGTTGGATGGGAAGCAGCCCAGATAGGAGTTACTATGGCACACGGCGTGGGATTCAGGGCTGGGGGATAACAGGGTAGTTTGAGAGTCAGTCTCTGCCCAACCCCCGGTGAAATAAGGCGTATCTCAAGTCTATCAGGTGTCTGTGTCTTTTATTGATTATGATAGCAGGTTAGATAATACCATCATAATAATCAGGCTTTTAATAATAAACATTATCAGCAATTTCTATTCTCTACAACACTGGAGCCTGGCCCAGCCAGGAGCGTACAGGCAAGGGGCTCACATGGCAGCTCAACCAACACTAACTCACCAATACTCTTTTCAATCTTCAAGACAAAGTGCTTCTCCGGATTGCTGCAGCTAAAGGTGAAAGACCTCCTTTCTCCAGGCTTAACCAGCAGCTCGGTCATATGCTGTCTAGACATGATGATGTTGCAGGCTTTCACAGGCAGGGCCGGGCTTGCCAGCCTGATGTGCACCGTAATCCCACTTCCATGGGGCAGAGCGATTTCAAATGCTTCTGACGGAAGGAACAAGAGTGACATGAGCAAGAGATATGACCAGTAAGCCTGCTGTGGTCCCCCTGGCCCGAGAAGGGGCACGCTGTGAAGGTAGGGATGTGGCCTCTTGCTTGGGCTGTTAATTTTAATACAAACCAAAAGCCTCTCTCAGCACACTGCTGATCTCCCGGGCTCATCTGCACATCCTACACATGCAGCAGCAACGACAGACACACTGTCTCGTCTCTTTACTTTGTGACTGGGGTGGTTGGACATGACACAATGACACCACACAGATGCCATCTGTCTACAGAAACTTATTTCCCAAGAGCGGCTGCGGCTGCTGCCTTTTGCCATAAATACTTTACAAGCCACGAGCATGCACTTGACCTACAGGGGACAGTACGCCATTCACTAAAATTAGAGGCAAAACATACTGGCCCAGCATAGTGCTACAGGCTTATTACCTCAACACCTTAGGAGGCTGAGGCAAGAGGCTCAAAGCGGCAGCTGCTTTATGCTCCCGCTGTCACGCCTCGCCAACCATGATGGGCTATGTCGCTCTTCTTCAACTACAATATCAGAAAGCTCTTCCTTCCTCAAGACACCTCATGTCAGGTATCTGGTCAGGGGACGAGAAAAGTGACTAAGGTCCCACCATAGTGGCAGCTCCCTCCCACAGCCTTGTGCAGGGCTCCTCCTGGGCTCCACAGCTCTCCCAGGCTCTCTGTTCCTCTGGCTCCGGTCTGCAGCCTGAGGACACCCTGCCGCCTGCTCAGGAACCCGCCTCCACTCACTAACCGCAGGCGAGCTCCTGCAAGACCGCACAGCTTGCCACCTTGCTCAGCAGCAGCCTCATGACGGAATACCCCAAGCCCCCAAACAGTTCTACCTGAAGGTCCAGTCCCCACGGCCTTGTCTTTTCCTCCATTTAATTGCTCACAAAGATATGACCTCCCCCTTACTTCAGTTCAGGCTAATAAATCTTCCCTGAAGTAACGAGGGAAGACACACAAACACACACACACACACACACACACACACACACAGAGAGAGAGAGAGAGAGAGAGAGAGAGAGCTTTTTCTGAGGCAAAATATGTTTTCTCAAATGCTTTGTCCTGAAATAGTGTGATATTTGATTCCAAGACAAACTTTTTAAAAATATTTTTTTTAATTTTATGTGCATGGTGTTTTACTTTCATGTATGTTTGTGTGAGGGTGTCAGATCCCATGGAACTGTTATGGACAGTTGTGAGCTGCCATGTGGGTGCTGGGGATTGAACCTAGGTCCTCTGGAAGAGCAGCAGGTACACCTAACCACTGAGCCATCTCTCCAGGCCCCAAGACAGACTTTTAAAGACATCAGATGGAGTTGAGATCCACACTCAGAATTGTGGTGGTCAGTTCTTTATCTGAGCTGTGTATAGAAGACTTGTGTTTTTCTAGACCTGTAAAAATGTCTTTCGCACCGACTGTAAAAAGCCTGCAGTACACGCTCTCAGCCTGGGCAGCCACGTCAAGCTAACTCAACATCAAGGGCAAGCAGGTTGTGAGGCTACCAGCGTCCTTCTTTAATTCTTCGGGCTTTTTCACCTTTTAGCCAATTCGTAACTGAAAATTACTGTTGCTGTTAATTAGCAGCCAGGTCAGCAGCTGTGGAGCTAGAGTAGAGGAGCCGGGCACCAGTGGACCCAGGAGGCTCTGAAGAGTGCAGAAGCCACTGCGGGTCTCAACATGCGATGATGGCCTGTGTTGTATATGCCAGTACCCTCACTCTGTACCCCAGATGGGATGGCATTTTGCTACACCTTAATACACTTTTAAAACCGTGTTCATAAAAAGTCATAAATACATCAAAATACAGTTTACTCTTTTGTGGGGGTTATCTTCTTTCAAGGTGTATGAAAACACTTCAAATCCCTCCAACCCAGATTCAGAGGAGACCAAAGCTGAGCTCACCAAAATTGCCCTCTCAGGTAGCTCCTTTTTGCAAGCAGGCCAGGACCCAAAGCAATTTTGGCAATTTGTCTTTTAGAAATTTAGGCTTTTCAGAATATTTGAAATAAAATATTTATTCAACAAACATTTTCTGGGTTCATATTTCAAGGACGACACTTGATGCAAATAATTTACTGATAAGGCAGGCATGGTGGCATATGTCTATAATCCCAGTATTTGGGAGCCAGAGGCAGGATGATCTCTGTGAGTTCAAGGCCAGCCTGGTCTACAAAGCAAGTTCAGGCCAACCAAAGCTATACGGTGTGACCTTGCCTTGAACAACTTTTAAAATTAATTAACAGGGACATCCAGATCTCCTATCCCCAGGGAGCTAATAGTCTAATTTGTTAATTTTAAAAATAATAACGCTCCCAACCCTGTGGGGCCTGATAGACCTGTCCATCTGTACTGGAAGCTCTTTTTAAAACTATTTTACTCTATGAGTATGGGGGTCCCTGTTTGTATGCCTGCATGCCATGTGTGTGCCAGCAGAAGCCGGACGATGGCTTCACATCCATTCTGGACCTGGAGTTAGAGACAGCTGAGGGCAGCCATGTGGGTATTGGGAACTGAACCTGTGTCCTCTGAAGAACAACCAGTGCTCTTGCCTACTGAACCTGGAAGTTGTTTGTTTCCACGCACATCAGGATTCACTTTTAGTTATTTATTTTTTCATGTGAAAAGGCAACTTCTCCCATGTAGTGAGCCCAAGGCACAGATTTCCCGACTGTTGTGGACATACACTCTATCTGGGGTCTAAACAACCTAGATTTTCACTCAAATTCATTATGATCTGATTCCAACCACCCAACCGAGTCCCACCCTCTGGTGCATTCTACTGCCCAGCCGCTGTGTTTTTCTTACATATAAAATGTTCCCAAAGGTCCACATGGCTTGGTCCTGATGAGTACTATTTTGGAAGGTTTTGGAAATGTTAGGGAGTAGGACCTCCCTGGAGGAAGTGGGAGCATCTTGTCCCTGGCCCCTCCTGTCTCCACGTGCCTCCTGGCCACCATGAAATGCAGAAAGGCCTCTGCCCATCCTCCTCCTGCTGTGAGGTTCTTTCTGCCTAAATACAGATGGCCAAGCAACCATGGGCTGAGCCCTCTGGGACTGTGAGTCAAAATAAATCTTTCTTCCCTTAACTCATTTCAAATGCTTTAGTCACAGCAGTGGGAAAGGGAGACAAAACATTATCTTTCACTGACCCAGACCATTAGATCCTATGAGTCCTACTCAACTTCCAAAGAAAATACTGAGTTAAACACTTGTGTTCAGCATGGCCAGTTCCCAGACACATCTGCAGCAGAAGGACGGGGTTTAATTCACAGGCTGCTTTTCAGAGTCATAATCAAGGACTTCACTCACATGGCTGCCACCTGTCTCTGCTTCCCTCATTCTGAGTGATCTGTAATGCAGCAGGAAGGGCAGGGAGGGAATGAGGTGAGGCTTCCACCTGGGGCTCAGTGCGCTAGAAGCCATTACTTCACCATAATGAGGGATCATGGGAACAGTATTGGTTGCATAAAATAAATCAGAAACTCACTTGATCACAGATACTTGGAATTTGAGAACATTTTGTTTACATGGTTTTTTCTTGTACCCATTCAACCATTTATCATACCTTGTAATTGGAAAAACCAACACTTGGAAGTAAAACCTCAGCCTTCCCGCCCACTCCTGTTGGGCCTGGTGCAGCAGAGCCCTTGATGAAGGTACTACAGTTTGGAGGAGAGTAAAGAGACTTTCCTTCTGCATTTCTTTCATCTCTGCAGGAGTTATATACTTCATTTGTGTAAAGTTCAAAAGGTTTGGGACGCTAGTCCACAGAAATGCAGAAAAGAGTCTCAATACTGGTATGATTTATAGGTCTTCTGGGCTGAAAGAAATCCAAGCCAGGCTTCCTGGGAACAGTGAATGAATGCGCAGGCGTGCAGCCCCAAGACAGCTTCTGAGTCACAGCTCTCTTCAGCTCCCTGTGGTCCCAGCTCTCCTTATTAGGACACCTTCACTCATCCCACCTCGCCTGTGCCTGCCAGGCGGGAATTTCCAATCATCACTCATTATTCACGCATCACGGGATACTTCACAACTGCTCCTGGTTGTTCCCCTGCCTACCGTCCCTGTTTTATTGTAATTCTCCACAGCAGGGATTTAAGTGCTAAGGAGCCTTTCTAAGATTGACACACTCACAATGTGAACACACTTGGTGTGGTTTCCTCTGGGGCTCAGCCCACATTCCCTTTCTCCATCCAACCATGATGCACTAGATAGGGACCAGCCAGGGACAAGCTGAGCCCGGGCACCCTTCAGGCATGGTGCCCTGCAGGAATGCCCAGAAGGGTGAAAGATGTGAATCGATCGATCAGTCACAGCTTGTGTGGGAGTCGGAGTCCAAAGCCGGTCCAAGGGAGGATGATGTGTGAGTGCTGCCCCCTCTTAAAAGGTGCCACAATGTGGGCCAACCCTTTACTCAGTGGGTTCACCAGCTGGGGCTTCCTGTTTCCGTGCTTTGCAACAAAGATTGGCTGAACACCAGGTAAAGGTGTGATTTGCTTCTAGAACTGGGTTTGCAGAGCACACTTCATTAACAGAGAGCTTGCTCAGAAGATAGAGCTCACACTAGGAGGGCCCAGGGGCGTGGCTCCAGCCCAGTCCACCACAAAGGAACACTCACACTGGATCCATGTCTTCTCCCACCCTCACCCTGACACCAGGGGATGACTCAGTGTGATCTTAGCTATCAGACCCCATCAGAATCAGCACCCTGAGGCCACCTTCGGATACAGGGGTTAGCCAGCAGCTGTCTGAGGGTTCGTGGAGCTCGGGCTTCCCTTGCTGGGACAGGAATGTTTCACAACTGTGTGTTGGAGTGAAGAGAGTAGATTAGAATTGGGTTGATCTACTGCTTGCTTGCTGTGTTTGCTTGGGCAAACTGCTTAGGGATAAAAATTGAACTATCTTGAGGCCCAAGTGAGTTAAGGGTTTGGGGAGCGGATCAGTACTCACCATGTCTCCTGTG